AATCGATTTTTTTACTGAAAAATGTGCTAGAAGTACGCCCAAAAAAGTTATGAATCTTTAAAAAAGAAAAAGACGTGTAGGTGGCGCCCCATACGAGTAAGAGCAATAAGAACATCAGGTTCGAATTTGACACCTCAAAAAACTCCTATTACCAAGTTTCGTTAAATTAAGTTCAGTATTTCAAAAGTTATTTGAAAAAACGAAAATAAAAATTAAACTTCAACATCCTGTATCTTGGAAACGAAGCGTTTCCGAACATTTATTTATTTGGACAATTCCTATTAGAATATTGTGAGGAATCACCTCCTGAAGTTTGTCAAAGTACTTTTGAATCACCCTGTATACCTGATTTTCACTACATATTCCGTGAAAAAAATTATATCCTAAATAGAAAAGTTATAGAAAAAGAAAAATTCTGGAATTGAAATGAATTTTTCATTTCATCATTTCTCATCTTGATGAAGGTGTAAAAAACTATTCATCTATGATGATGCGTGGAAGTTAAACATTTCTGAATTCAAGTTTATGAAATTTGCTTGATAATTTGGGATTATGAACCTGATCTGCAACAATATTCCTGATATGCATTGCACAATCAAGTTAGAGCTATCAGGAGATAAGAATTGTTTTGTGACAGTTCTCACCTTAAATTGAACATCACCAATTAGAAATTCTGAGAGTTCGTTTTCTTCGAAAGCTTCCTCAAAATTTACTACAAAATTAGGTCGAAATCTTTGAATTGTGGATTTGAGGCTTTCGTTCAAGTTGCCTTCTGAGACGTGCCTGCGCAGCCACTCGACACTCTTGGAATTCAACATCAAATATTGTGCTTTATTGGCAAAGGAAAGCTGAGTAGATGAATCTGAAAATGAAATCATTTCGATTTATGAATATTTCAAAAACGACATCTTGTAAGCAAAACAAAATACAATTTTTTTCTAAATGTGATCAAAATTAATATTACAGAATTACAACTACTGAAATCTATGAAAATAAAAAAGTTATGCATATACACATACACACACATTTTATACACATACACATATACATACACATATAAAATTGATTTTTATACAGGGTGTTCCTTAAACACATGCTAATATTTAAGGAGGTAATTCTTAGACTCATTTTAAGGAAAAAACGTCCTATGGACGTATGTCCTAAACGCATTAACTTTTGAGATACAGGGTGGCAAAGTTTTCAAAAATAATCAGTTTTTTAATAATAACTGAGATAATTTTGTAGACATCTTTGGCATATTTGGTACATATGTTCCATGCCTCAAGGCGCATTTTCTGATGTACAATTTTCTTAATTTTCTCTGCCAGTGGCGTACGTACGAGTTTTGAAATGTATATTTTTGGCGAAAAAAATACTACGCCACTGCTTTATCTTGAATTAAAAATAA